AAGTTGTTACTCACACCCTAAGACGACCATCTTCTTAAAAAATGATTCGGTAATGAAATTTACCTCAATAGAAGGCATTGTTACAGATACATGAAGGTCCTTTCCATTGTTGACAGCTTCCATCATGGTGATGCAATGAGAACTCTCTACATTTTGTGCAGGATCTTGGCCAGTGGCAATATATATAGCAGAGACAATATTGCTGGCATGGGCGTTGAAGCCACCTAGAGCTCCAGCCATAGCAGAACCAGTAAGGTTCTTAAGCATGTTGAGCTCCACCAAGGACTCAACGGTAGTCTTGAGGACCTTCTTCACCACATCTTCCTTGATGATAGCCTCACAAACAACTGATTTACCCCGACCTTCAATCCAATTCACAGCAGCCGGTTTCTTGTCTGAACAGTAGTTTCCTGAAATGTACAATATAATGAATTTAGCATGTCGACAAGTTTTATTTGCTTATTAACTTGAGAATACTAGAAACTGTTGAAGAGATAACAAAAAAAGGAGGAAAGTGAATATCTTATTACCAGATATGCCAATAACATCCATGTCTGGGAATTCCTTGTCAAGGAAGTCCATCACATTCTGCACACCTTTAGAGACCATGTTCATGCCCATTGCATCACCAGTACTGCAGGAGAACCTGATGTAGAGATTCTTGCCCGCAATAGCACACTTGATGCTCTGAAGCCTTCCAAATCGGCTGGAACTGTTGAAAACAAGCGACAAGGCCTCGAAATTGAGAGGGTCCTCGAGGAAAAACTTCAAATCAGCAGCGCGCTTGGCAGTGCCGAACCTGACAACGGGAGCCCTGGTCATCGCATCCCTGAGGACCACACTGGAGGCTCCGCCAGAGACATAGATGGCCTTGCATCCCCTGTTGGTGCTGGCAACCAGGCAGCCCTCCGTGGTGGCCATGGGAACCGAGAATTCTCTGCCATCAAGCAACAGAGGCCCAGCGATGCCCACCGGAATCTGAACGTAACCCACAGGCATCTCGCAGCACTGACCTAGTATGGTGTCGTAATCGAAGCCCTCCAGGGGCAGCCCTGAAAGGGACTTTCCACTGATCCTCTGTAATGCCTCACGGCGAATAGCAGCGGCCCGGCGGGTATCACCAAGCTTGGATTCGAGAGAATATGAAGGGATCTTGCCCTCCACCACAGACTTGATGATCTCCTCGTCCACCTCCGAGAGGGTGAATGCCGGCAGTTGATCAGCATCATCGATTTTGTCTAGTTTGGATTTAGGTTTTGGGGAAGCAACTTGGCAATCAGATGGGGTTAGAGCGGCAGCACAGGGAGCGGAACGGGAATCCTCCTTGTTCATCAACTGATCAATCTCCTCTAAATCATCCAAAATGTCGTGGGTGGCACGGGGAATAATCAACGACTGTACAAAGCTGATGCCGAAGAAGCCTATGAGATAAATGAAGGAGACAACTAAGGCAACGATAGCACCAATTTCTGAAAGGGTGAGGACGTGTAGAGGGGCAGAGTTCCGGATCTTTTCACGCCATCGGAGGAGTAGATAGTAGACGACGGAGAAAAAGATGGTGAAGAAGACCGCGTTAGCAAGGTACAGGGGTAGAGGAAGGGCGTCTGAGGACGAATCATGCTTTTTAGTGGACGGTTTTTGTGATTCTTGAATCATCGATTGTTGTTTGACGTCCATTCTAATTGTAGATTATGATCCCTTCCCTTTAATTCAGTAAGATGAAGATGAAGAAGAAGCTGATGGTATGAAATGGTGGAAGCTCGTCTGGATTTATAGGGCTTAGGCTTATTCTCCATTTTGGAATTTACGTAGGGTTCGTGGAATGTGTTCAGTTACGGACTTGACTTGCAATCTTGTAGTCAAATTTGTCAGTCTGCTGCAATGCTAAAATACGAACAATGTAAATACAATGTGACAAAAATATTCTCATTTGACTCTTCACATTGTAATTTAATCCATGTTTTCATTATGATTAAAAAAAATTGACTTGGACACAAATTAAAATTTAAATCCCTGATTTTAAATTTCACCACACCTGCAATCTCCATAATTTATGAAACTCTTAATTGACAATTATTTTGCAACGAATTTTCCAGTAATCACTCTCTACGTGACATACCAACTTCTCACTGTGTCGTACGTCACGTCTTTGCAATCTAAAGACACTGATATAATCGTTGTGGTGTCACGTAATGATTACGTATAAGAACAATTATAGATAAGTAACAACTAATCAATTTTTAGCAATTTGGGAGATGATATGAGCCATAATGTGATGATAGTGAGATTTAACACAAAATTGAAGTTTAACGACTCAAATGAGAAAAATTAAAAGATCATCAACTTAACTTTTAATCTCGCTAAATGTCCATTGACCGCAAATGAATGTTACCCTATAAAAATATATTTTGTTTCGTGAAAACATTGTTCTCAAAATACAATATTGCCTTTTCAAGCTGAAAAACCTTCGGTTGATTGAAATCAAGATGAGATATATGTGATTTTGTTTGGTATTGGTTTAAATTTATTTTTTATTCACATTTTTTTTTTTGTGAAATTCAAAAGTACTATTCATTTATTTATCATTTTTATCTATTTATAATTTGAACTGATTTAAATAATTCATAATAAAAAACGAAAAGGAAAACGCCAAGATACAAGTCTAATACCACCAACAAAACAATAACTTAAATATTAAATAACATGATAATATATTATCATTTACCATTCATTCAATTAAATATATATATATTTTTAAAAAAGTCCATTTATGTGAACTATATTTTTAAAAAAAAGTCCATTTATGTGAACTATTCTTTTCTTGCTTTATTTTATTATTTGCTCATTTGGGTCCGGTGCCATTTTCGTACTTATAAGAGCCTGTTTAATCTGACATTTACTTTTACTTTTTTTAGAAAGACTTTTGGAGGAAGTTATCTTAATTTTTATTTGAAAATTAATTTGTAAAAGCACTTTTATAAAATAGCCGAACGGATTCAAAAGCAGATTTCGAGTCTTAGAAGCTCTTTTAACTTTTCAAAAGTCATGTCAAACGGGTCTTAAATTATATGATTATTCTCATTTTAACACATCAATTCATTGTCCAATATATTAAAAGCGTTGCAATTCCATTGAAAAATAAATCAAGAAGCTTATTATCAACCAAATTGACAATGATCATTAATAATAAATAACATTATTATTTTCATAATTAAGGTTCCAATGTAAATCCAATGCAACATGGTTGGACTTAATAATTGAAAAATACTAATAATGGTTTTGGCACGTTACCACTAACCCATTTTGTTTCTATTGGTCTCAAGTGGCCGGCGCCAGTCTTCTTTTACCAAGACTAACCATAATGGAATATAACATTTTTTTTGACAATGTAGCAGTTCAAGTTGTACTAATTAATTTTTTTTTAGGTAGAAAACTGTTACACATCACTTTTATTTAATGCAGACCGCCATCTTCATTAAATTCTAGCCTCGTGGGTCCAATGCCACAAAATTTGACTTGAGAAGATGGAAGTTCACATTGCAATTCGTTAATTGATTTCCACCTAAATAAATTGCTTTTTGGTAAATTTTCTTATTTCCATAGATAATATGTTTTCATGTGTATAATGTCAAAGTAGAAGGCAATAAAGTCAATTTGGAGTATTTGTCTTGCCTAATTTTCTCTGAGGATAAAAAAAAAAAAAGAATGAAAAGGATGTCATGACAACTGCTAATGCAACTACACAGGTTATAATAGAAATACACATGCAATGTATGGAATTTTACGGTGTTTATCGTGGGTACTTTCAATCTCTAAATCATGAGAGTTTTATAATTTATATATTGGTTGACGTTGACAGAGTTGGCGTATCAACACGAGAATTTGCTCTATTTGAATTGTTGAAGTTACCAAAACATTATATATGCTGATGCACAATCGAACTACAAGATCTCTAGTAGAGTTTACGGGTCCATCTAGAGCAGTCTAGTTGAGTGTGGTTCTCTTTGATGCTTTCGGAGCATATCCGACTTGAACATCCCAGTTATAATGTGTCAAGTATGAACATGGCTGGAAGTGACCTTAAGAAAGAGTACCTTCTGAATCGTTCTGACTCAGGGACCTAACTTATTGATTATGCGAGACACCATCACCAGCGTTCAAGAGAAAGGTGGTCCAGAGGTTCCTGACCCCATCTCACTTGGAGCTCTATTAAAAAGAAGAGGCCCTCGTCTTCATTTGAGATATCTTGTCCAACAAAAATACACCAGAATCACAATTTACCCAAAATTTAAGTAGGACAAACACAAATTTGCATTACTCAAACTTGACCAAGAGATCTCTTACATATTGAACTTCAACGCCATTTTTACCAGTTATTATATGTTCGAAAGATAATGCTATTTATCTTCATCGGAGACAATCACCATACGATGTGACCTTAAATGATAAAACCAATATAGTAAAACTTATATCTAGACATTCAACTCAACCGGTTCTTTCATAGCACATCACAGACCAGCGATCATAAAATTACGTCGAGATTGAATCCACACAAAATTAAGCGCTAATAATTAAAACTGAGCACGAATCTTGAAAAGTATCCATGATCAAATAACTTGGTCATCTTGACCAGTGGCAGCACTTTCACACAATTGTTCAATAAAGGACGTGCATTAAGTGGAAGAGAAATAACAAGCCTGGAGCGGTCCACTGGCTTATATTTAAGTTCAGAAATCACCAAATACCCAATATTCTTTTCAAAACACTGGATAAACTACCCAGATTATTTTAGTTGCTATTCTCTTAATTTATAAATTCATCAATTCTTATTTTACCAATTCTAACATGTCATGTTTCTTGTATTCAAAATTTTGAAACCGTCATTGAGGAATTGGGCCAACTGCTTCCGCAAAAATAAAAATGATATCATCTCAAGTACCAGTTAAACAAGGAGAAAAACAAGAGTGAGAGGGAGAGCATCGTCGACAGGGAAATTTCAACAAGACGTGGCAACAGTCGACTCCATAATAGGATTATCCTTGTTGAAGGATTGCCATTCAATTTCCCTGAGAATTTTAAACCTCTCATCTAATGTAACAAATCCAGCTTGGGGTGCTACAACGCCTGAGCGCCCAGCTTTATAGAGTAGAAGCACCCCAGCTCCCATATCAGGTCCATGGAGCTTTCCTGTCAGCAACACTCGAAGAGGCATGAAGAGAGATTTTCCCTGGAATCAAATTAGAAACAATTTGCTAGATAAGAGTCCTGTACTAAGAGGAGAAATTGCAAACCCTTAAACCATCCCCTTAAGGATGGTGATGGTAGAGCCCCAATTGATAGAAGAATAACCCACAAACCCTTGGGCTTATCGTGCACTTGGAAGCAGTAGTAAAAGTATATTTTTGCATGCAGAGCTAACGATTTAACAACTATTTAATAAGAATGTTTTAGTTTATGCTCCTAATTTTTATTCGGGGAAAAGAAGCGTCAATTATCTTCACCACTAACCTTGCGTTTCAGTGTTTTACCAAAGCTCTTGACCCACTTCTGCCATCCACCGTGGCCTTCTTCAAGAGCACAATTGAGCTCACCAGAGTCATAGGCAGCGAGCAAGTTAGCTGCAATATCTGAAAGCTGATCTTCTAGGAAAGGTTTACCTTCCGGACTGTAATCAAACGTCAATAATATCAACCGCAGCAATAACAATCATGCCCTGTTAGTGCAGAAGCATGCCTCTATAGACTGGCTACATTACTACTATCAATGATGACATTCACTATGGTTCAGATGAAGTGTACATCAATGGAGTATCATAATATATGCATAATGCATAAAATTCTATGAAATGTATTGGCTTTTAATATGCAGTCACTATCATGTTGAAGCACACCCTTGTAGTGGTTTCTTAGATCAGCATCTGATTGTGCTATAGAAGTTACCCAAAACCCCTACTAACGAATATGGTTGCTTTCATATTGGGGAAATAATAATAATAATAATAAATAAATAAATAAAATAATAATAATAAAATTAGTAAGGGCATTTTTCAGTAGTCAAAGTGAGAAACAAATGCCTTCTTCAATTTAATGTCTCTTCACCTTTACCCAACCCCACCACCATCCCCATCCCCTCTTCACCTATCACCTGAGTAGCTATCTGCTCATTTTTATTCCACCCTTGTTTTCTTGATGAACAAACAAATAGAAAAGGAGCAGATCATCCACATTGTTTTCAATTGTTTCCAACCTTTGAGTTGCTCAAAATAGCGTTCTTGTGTCAAGTATCTCTCAAGCAGCTACTTGAGAGCCTCATGAACTCCTGAGGAAAAGATAAAAATGTAGAGAAAAAGGAACGTGGCTGGAAGAGTGAAAAAAGGGCTAGGAAGAAGTGGGGAAGAAAGAGGTAATGAAGTAAAACAAAGGAAAGGTCACAGAGAAAATGAGTAGGGGAAGGGGGATGGGTCTGGGAAATCCAACAAAAAGGGTTGATCAATAAAAGGAAGGCCATTTTACATAAAACTAGAAAAAGAGGCTCGTTTTCATTTTCTCTCCAACTTGATTCTTCTTAAGAAATTTCCTCGTTTGTGTTCCATGTCGTGGCAATTCTAAGTCATCATGCAGCTGATGTGCAAGTTGAATTTCAACCTGAAAATTCCAGTATGCTTATTGTTGATCCTGACAGATAATAACCATCATGAAGTCCGATCACTCCCATAACTTCTCCTTGAGCTATAATAATGGGTTTTCCGTGGTTGTAAATGTATTCCTCCCATAAGGGTTCAAGAGATACAAAACTATCCTGTCATGCCCACAACAGTTTATGCTTACATAACAGTTTCCTACAAACTGTAAAACTATTTGAAAACTATCATGCATTAAGTTTGCTACTTAATGGAAAAAGTTTCCTTCAGAAGTCTGTGTGTGTGTGTGTGTGTGTGAGAGAGAGAGAGAGAGATAAGTTAAGAGTCCCTTCTCAATAAATAGAAAATGCATTAAAGCAAAGAGAACTTAAATCATTTGGACCCGGCAATTGCTTGCTTGTTGCAGTTTATACTTTTCAATTTTCAATTCCTTTCCTTTGTTTTACTCTCGTTCATGTATTTAAGCATTTTATGCACAGTTGCAATATTTGTGTTTCATTACTTGCAACAGTTAAGGTAGTTTCAGTTTATCACACAGGTAGCCTTGCCAGAAGTGCTAGTTCTGATAAATGACTTACTATTTAAAACAGATAGTTCAAAGTTGTTGAATGTAATATTGAGCGTGCATGGCAAGACAATGGATTAGAATGTTTTATGGAGGACAGGGGCGGACGCATGAGTTTAAAGTTAGGGGGGCACAATCAAATTTGCAAAAAAATTGGGAAAAATTCTACAATCGAAAATTTACATCCAAAAAAACCATACCCTATTTAATTTTGCTTCCGAAAATTTACATGGGATATGACTTTTCCAGATGTAAAATTTCGAAAAAACTGTCATGTTCCATATAAAATTTCTTAATAAAATGATGAAAATTATATTGAGAAATTTGTATTGTAAAAATAATAAACTCACGTTTAACTCATTTTTAACTATTTTCGATATCCATTTGGATTATTTGATATGCCTATAATGTAATTCTCAAAATAAGCTTTTAGATGACATAAGCAATTTGTCGATTCGATTAACATACGATCGTCGAAGAATTTTTAAAGTTAGCATGTTATCAAAATTTTCGAAATACTAATTTTGAACGGCTTACCTTGACAAGTCGTAGCATTTGCTACGATTGATCGTAGAAAACTAGACCGTGAATACTTCGAAATTATATTAAGAATGCAATATTTTGTCATTGTTTGATGGAGAGTTGAGATTTTGTTAAAATGCGAGAGAAAAAGAGAAAAATTAAAATTTATTGTGATTTTACCCAGTTTGATGAAGATTAAAATCAAAATTTTAGTAAATTTTGATAAAAGTTAAATAGTTACGGATTCCATAAAATATGTTATTAAAATTAATTGTTAACTTTGATTTAGATTAAAATTTATATATATATTAGAAAAAAAAAAAACTCAAAAGCGATTTTCAGGTCAAACATATAGATGGCATTCTTTAAGCATCTTTGATATGCATATGCTTTGTTGCAGACACTTCAACTAGGATGGCGTGTCCGTGTCCTTGTCCGACACGTGTCAGATACCGACACTCCTCGTACATTCTACGATGGTCATCTTTCTTTCTTTATGAGAAATATTACATATTTTTAACTCAAAATTATTATTGAGTAACAAATAGGCACTTATATTCAAAAGATTTCAACAAAAAAATTAATAACAAGTATAAAACTAAATTTATATTATATAAATCAAGAATTTTAAAAAATTTAATCAACGTATTAGCGACATGTCATAGTACTTTTTTTAAAAATGGCGTGTCGGCGCATCTGACACGTATAATGTCGGACACACGTGTATGTGTTGGTGCATTATAGTGCATATGCACATTATGTATGAGAATATAATAGCTGGAATATTTATAATACTAATGTAGACCATGAAATTTTATGCACCAGAACAATCTTAAATGAAATTGCACAAGAAACAAAAGAATTGCATGTTTTACTTGTTGATAATGTCACACACTTGCAAATTTTAGATCCAAAATTACCTAGCCAATGTTGCATATAAAGGATAAGACAGCAAGTTCGAAAGAGCCGTGTCCGCATCTGTTATCAACTCAATCCCATCCTTCAGCAGTTGAATGGTCTCCTGTACATATGAATTCAGAATACAACAAAAGCTATCAGTAACTTGTAAGGATCACCAACCAATGCATATAACAGAATCAAATGCTCAGCCAAGAGCTTTGAATAATCAATGTGATGTGATAAGCCTCTTCAGTCAAATGACCAACATCTCAAGAAAGGGATAGAATACCATTATACAAGCTCAAATCAATCTATAACTCGCTGGAAAACTTCTAGCATGTCCAATATCTCATTTCATTATGTGAATAATAAAAAGGAAAATCCTGCTACAATAATGTTCATGGAAGAGAGAACTTTTACTTCTATAAAGCTCCCCTCTGATTCTGTAAAGATGCCAGTGCTCTTCCATCGCTCACCAATTAGCTTGTTTAGGTCTTCCGAAGGAAGAGATCTCAGATATTGACCATTCATCCACCTTTGATGTTAAGAAATAAGTTCAATAGAATCAATCAAATGCAATAATGCTCAGCAAGCATAATTATTAGATTAACAAAAATGACATTACTATGACGAAAGGTGTAAAACTAACAAAGAATCCCAGAATTCGATATAAGTGGCTGCAGCTATATTGGATTGCAAGTGCAATAAAGAATTTTTAAATTATGTAATGTCTATAAATGCCATACTTACCTTAACTTTGCTGAATCAAAAATAGCTCCACTTTTGTTAACACGCTCAATTGTGAACTTTTCAACTACAAACCATGATAGATTTTGAAGTCATTACATTAATAGAACATAAATACATCTATCAGCTTAAGCTGCAAGAAGCATTACATGTATAACACAGATTTAGGAAACTAACCAAGTTGGTCAAGTGTAAAAAACTCATTCTCAGTACCATCACCCCATCCCAACAATGCAAGATAGTTCACCATAGCCTCAGGTAAAAATCCCATCTCCCTGAACTATCAAATGGAAATATTACAAATGATATTAGTCCTGGATAAGGAGAAAAAGTAATCGATGGGATATTGAAATAAAGTGATAACAATCCAGTAACATAGATATATGTATGTCTGTATATATATATATATATATACTACTGTTATTTTTTATGAATCAGAGTTGTATTTCTACTTAGATAAGTTGAAAACAAGACCTATTTTAAAGGGAAACAGAAATAATAGTGTGATTGACTACCTGACCCACTGAAGTTGCACCATGCCTTTTCGAAAGTTTGCTCCGATCAGGTGCGAGAATCAAAGAAACGTGTGCAAAGCAAGGCATTGGGAATCCAAGCGCCTGGTTTAAAGTAACAAATGTATTTCTCTATTAGCTTATCCACATGGCCAACAGAAACTACTTGGGCAATACAAATGCACAACTCAACTCAACAAAGCAGAATTCCAACTTAAATAATGAAGAGGAAAGACAGTACTTTATATATCAAAGCTTGCCTCAGAGTATTTGGCAAATGTTCCTCCGCTCTGAAATATAAATGTAAGTTAAAGAGCAAGTTCATGAAAAGTAAAAAACATATAAACAAGGAAAGAGAAACGGCATTTACATCAGCCAATTGTTTCTATTGGCAAAATTTGGAAGTAAGGCCATGCTTTACCTTATAACATGTGAGATAGCCATGGTAGCATCATCAACAGATACACAAAAATTGTAAACAGGTTGCCCATTACTTCTCATAATCACAAAATCTCCAAGTGTGTCCAATTTCCAACTTACCTTCAATCCACTATCAGACAATTAGTAGCCAATAAATAAGGCATGATGTCAAACACTGTCACAAGGTTCAGGCAAGCAGTTGAAAAGAAAGTGCTTAATTCAATCAATTCCACTTACTAGTTAGACCGATGATACAAATTATTACAATTTAAGAAAGTATGAACATCTCTAAGAAAGTACCATGCCCATATCAAAGCCATAAAAACTAAAGTTAACAATATTTTGCACATATCAAAATTCAAAATATTATGTTTTTATGGCTTATATCATTTGATAATATACTTCTAGCTGATGAGACTAAAAAGTGGTAAATTCATAAGTTAGAAATTCAGAGTACTTTAGAATCTAAAGGATCCGATTAAGTAAATCCAAGACATAAATACATGGATTGTCGCTTGTAGGGATAACAATTGTTTTGGGAGTTACGGAGATCTTGTAGCCCTCAAAAGTGATTGTTTTAGGTATTCAGGATCGATTATTAACATAGAAATATAGTCTTCATGAACAGGGCAAATAACTAAAAAGCTGCAGCTGTATAATCAAATAGACCTGTTGACAGTTTCCTCAACGTTCAATAGTTAACTCACCTCACCCCGGATGAGATCGTCTATTTTCAGACTGCCTTCCTTAGGAACTCGAAATCGATAAGTGTATGGTGTCCCCTTTGCCAGCTCCTCTTGCACTTCGTTATCTGTAGCACTAACCCACTTGCCACTGTATATAGGGGGCAGCTGCTTTAACTTCGCATCCTCCTTCATCTTTTCCAGCTCCTGGCATATTGGTTATAGAGATAAATTATTAAATATAAGAAAATTGATCGAAGGTGGGGGAAAATGCTTCCATCAACCTCTGTTGCACCACACAATAATTGAATTAAAGAAAACTCAACCATGAGGACCGGAAGCTGACAAACATGCTAGAGGTAATTAATAAACAATAGTATATTTCATAGAAATGGATAAAAACTCTTTAATCAATTCAGTCAAAAATCTATATTGGAGACAGAACAAAAACACATGCGATGACCTCATTTGAACAGAAGCAGCGATAGACATGACCAGATTGTAGAAGTTTATCTGCATATTGTCTGTAAAGAGCATTTCTTTCAGACTGCCGGTATGGACCGTACATCCCTCCAACGCCGGGGCCTGCACATTAAATCCGTGACGCTTAAAAAATAAAAATTTGACAAATAAACACTATGGGAAAAGAAAACAAATTTTGAAAAAGAAAAGAAATGGTTACACAACCTTCATCCCAATCGAGACCCAGCCACGAAAGATCACGAAGCATTTCTTCCTCGGACTGCTTAGTTGATCTCTCTAAGTCAGTGTCTTCAATTCGAAGAACAAATTTGCCGCCTTTGGACCTGGCGAACAAGTAGTTGAAGAGCGCAGTTCGGGCACCGCCGACGTGGAGATTTCCAGTCGGGGAGGGTGCGAACCGTACTCTAACTTTATCGGTCGACGGGGATGGTGATGATGCTGAGACTGAAAAGCCACTTAACATTCTTGACCCGAATAATAACATCGGTGGCGCTATCTCTGAAGTTGCCCGAACCCTGATTCCCCACCATGGCGTCCCCACTAGACTCCCCATTTCTTGTTGCCAATTTATCAGAGTAGATAGGAGAACAACCTCAGTTTGAAGAAAGACTGTCTTTGGTAAGGGTCAGATGTGCGCTTGAGCTTGAAGAAAGAGTGTCTTTTGTAAGGGTAAGATTTGGGAATAAGTTTGCTGATGGCCACTCGACTTCACGTTGGTCGCGGTTTGATGCACATAATTTTTTCAAGAATGTATTTTAAATGATGGTTTAATGAAAAATATGTAGTTAAAAAATAAAAATAAAATTTGAATTTACGTGTAATATTATTTTATTGAAAGTATATGTTTAAAAATAAGAGGAAAAAATGTATTTTTAGAAAAATATATATCAAACATGGTATTAATATCATTGGAATCGTTTAATTTGATTTTATTTTATCATGATTACTCAACTTTATATTTAGTGTCATCACGACTACTCAATTTGATTTTATTTCATAGCTACCTAATTTTATATAATGTTTCACCATGATCACTTAATTTTCGCCCAATTTCTTTTCACAATTTTTACTAATTTTAAAAGGGTTAAAAATATAATTTTGTATTAAATATTTAAAATAAATTTAACAAAAATAAAATGTTTTTTTTTATTTTAAAAACGTTTATTTTTAAATAAGTTCTTATTTTATTTTATTAAGTAACATTTTTTTTAAAAAATAAGTTTTTATTTTTTTTTAAATAAATTTTTATTTTTCTTTTGTTTTTTTAAGTTTATTACAGTTTACCTATTTAAAATTAGTGAAAAGAGTGAAAAGAAATTAGGTGGTCATGATGAAAAGTTGTATGAAATTGGATTGTAATAGTGAAACTTTATATAAAATTGAATGAGTATGATGAAATAAAATCAAATTGGTGATCATGGTAATACCAAGTATAGAGTTGGATTATCATGGTGAAACAAAATGTGATAATTGTGACACCAAGTATAATGTTGGGTGACTATTGATGGATTTAACCCTGAGATATTTGTTTGAGCTACTTTTTTTTTTTTTTTTTAACTTTAAGTTTACATGTAAAATTATTTTATTGAAAGAATGTATAATTAAAAATAAATTTTAAAAAAAATTCCAATCATACCTACAAAGAATTTTAGTATTTCCTACTTCCTATAAAAGAGCGGATCCCAATTGTCACTGTTCATCTCGTGTCGTCCAATTCACATTAATCCAGATTCAAACCGGTTTGTTACTGTTCACCCGTGATGCCGCGCACAATTAGTTTACCGGTCATCTGGCAGGCTTTGTTGACTATTCGTGTTGTGTTTTATATTTTCTTTCCATCTTATCTTCACTGATGAAATTCAACACGGGTCGACTGCATTTAATGAAAATATATTAGCTGACCCTTGTTTTTTTTTTCTTTTGTCATTTGTCACCATTTAATTTACTGTTCATCTGTCATATATTTTATGACATACAAATAGAAATCGAATTGCCGACCTTTGTTATCTCTATTTTATTTTCGCTGATGATGATGAAATTCAACACAGTGGACTGCATTTAATGAAACGATAGTAGGTGGCCCTTTTTTTTG